TGATTATACTTTAATCAATAGTAGATACCTTTGTCTGTTTTCTAGCTCCTAGTGGTCCTCCAAATAATGTGAGAGGGTTTATATTAAATGCTACTAGTATCAAAGTGAACTGGACCAATTCATTAGAGACTAATGGATATGTGATTGAGTATACTACTGGAGGTGTAACCAGGAATGTAGTATCTACCAGTGAAAATGAAATTGTACTAACAGATCTCTCACCAATGAGTACCTATACTATCAGTGTGTACTCATATATAGATCTTCCTTCAGTTAATAGTACAAAGGTGTTAAGATTTGATGGTGAGTTATTATGATTGAGAGAGTGTAATTGATATGTGTTGTAGTTCCTAGTCCAGTAACTAGTCTCTCAGTATCTAATGTCTCAACCACTGGTATTACAGTGAAGTGGACTATTCCCAGTAGTGACAACTATGTAACATACTACACCGTCTCCTATACTCCATCTTGTCCGGAGTTATCATCAGTGAATGAGAGAGTTTCTGTTGGTCCTCATCAGTCCACTACAACATACAGTTATACATTAATAGGTCTGTACAGTGGTATGAACTATACCATCACAGTGAGAGCTGGTAATGTACTAGGAGGATCTAATCCTAGTTCAGTTAAAGAAGATACATTTCTATTAACAGGTATAACATGCACAAAATTAAACCTTACTACACTTTATTTTGTGTACAGCTCCTACTGGTTTTCCTGATAACTTGTTTTTATTACAACCAATTAATAATCTCACTTGGAATGAGGTCAATTGTTCTGAGCGTAATGGTCTAATCACAGGCTATACAGTGATTATCAGTAACAGTAGTATCACATACAACCTCACCAGTACTGAGAGATATATCATATTGAATGATCTAGTATTTGGTACTGAGTATAACATCAGTGTAGCTGCTATCAATTCTGTTGGAAGAGGTCCCTTCAGTGATCCTATTGAAGTAGAGATTGATACATTTATAACTGGTACTACTTCTAGTACTTTATCCTTATCAGTAGAGGTAACACCATCAGATATAACAGCAGGTTAGTGAATTAAAATAATATAAATAATATTATTATAAAAATAGGATCAAGTTCAACTGAAGCATCTAGTCAAGGTATAGTGACAATGCAATTTTTTATTTAATAATTCTTAACAGTACCTATAATTGGAGCTGTTGTTGGAGTTGTAATTGCATTACTAGTGATACTTATACTATCAATACTTACTGTTGGATTGATAGCAAAGAAAAGGTTTAGTATGAAATAATAATTACTACTGTAAATGTAGACTTCATAATACTAATATAGGTCTAGTAAATCTGATAAACATGAAATGCTTCCATTAGCAAACCAGCCTAACCAAGATGCAAAAGATAGTAAGAACTCTTTATTTCTGTCTTATGATGATCATTATCAAACAGATAACAAACCACTAATAAAAGCATACACAAAAATTAAGCCACAGTACATATATGCAACAAAATATACAATTGTTGTTTATTTATTTGTTGTTGTTTATATTACTATACTTGTTATAGCAAAGCATGAAGAATCCCTTATCAATGATTATGAGGCAGAAACTAAAATAGACAAAGAAACACCAGCATCAGTAGAGCCAGGTATAACTCATACATCATGCTATCATTATACATTATCAATTACTAATAGTGTATGATGCTGT